TTTTTTTCTATTTCCGACAGTACTTTATGTAAAACAAATGGTGTTTCTGTAACTAGATATTCTTTTCTCCTTCAGCCAATTACCCGGGGGATTGACAAACTAGGACTTGATCAATTGCTTTGATAAACATGACTGTAATTTAATATGTTCAGGCCGGGTTGGTGAGTGAGTATGGTTTCACGCGTTTTTAGCAATATTCCAGCAATATCACAGCGGGGGACACCAGAAATGGGCTTCACACATTGTACCCATGTGGGGAATCGAACCCGGATCTTCGGCGTGACGAGCTTTAACCACTAGGCTACCCCACTGCTCCAGGCTCGGCCGGGGTGGGACATGTTTAAATTCATATAGTGTAGCTGGGTGACTCCCTTAAACTTGATTACAGACAGACAGACACACACGCGCGCACACACACTTAAAAATATATTTAAAACTTCAATTTTCCAAACAACCTAAATCAATTTTTGTTCGAATCCAGTGTCATTCAAATGTCCTTTAAAAACATTTCATCACTGACTTCACTTACTAATAGGATCGGCTCGTCAACTACCGACATACATACTCCTCACAAAAATTTAAGCAACACAAATTTGTAGTCTCATTACATTTTCATTTCTTGAAATTGCAAATCATGGAATGATGCAATAGAAAGGTGAAACATATGTACACACGATTAACAAAATGATATGAAATGGTATTGTGCAATAATAGACTTACAAATCATCAAAAGCATGTACCCGTGAAACAGTCGTGCAAAATGTGCTGCATTGATGGAGCAAAATGTTAACATTAAGGTTCAAGTCAGTTTTGGACAGTGAAGCAGTGTCCGGTATGACCACCATGAGCACAGATGCAAGCTTCTACACGTCTTTGCATTGACAAAATGAGCCTTTAAAGTTGCTGTTGTGGAATGTTCTGCCATTCTCTCTGTAACACCTGCTCAAGGTCACCCAGAGTCTGGGGGGTGAATATGGAGACCGTAAACACGACTTCCAATAATGTCCCAAGCATGTTCAATGGGATTAAAGATCAAGTGACCTTGCAGGCCAGTCCATATGTGTGATGTTGTTGATCTAAACAACATCGTTAGCAACTCTTTCTCGCGCACTATCATCCATGGACAGGCATTATCATCCATATAAAATGAAGTTAGGACCCACTTGTTCTACCAAAGGAATAGATTACAGGTAGGTTTACATCGATCAGGGTGCATGTGTGAAGAGTGCAGCACATTCATGCCACATATTTTGCATGTTGTTTCTGAGGGTGGTTGTGTTCGGGTGATCTTGTCAATGTTATCAGATATATCAATTTGACAGTCACTAAAGGTTATGTATTCTTTGAATATTTACCTTAAAGTAACATGTCGGAAAAAATTGCTATCGAGATTGATAAAGATATTACACTGAAAATACTTGTTGCTTAATTTTTTGTGAGGAGTATATATATACAAACAAACAAACAAACACACAAACAATCACAGACACAAACAAACAACATGGGAAGTGATTAAGTGATCTGGAGAGTTTCTGAGAGTACAATAATTACGGCATGTCGGGTTAATGTGCATTGAAAGCTTTCAGCGATGCAAGCTGATGTTTTGGCGAGTCCATGAACATAGGTGCTGACACAAGGATAACCGAGATTAACCGGAATTCTGCATTCCAGGCAACAACCACGCGGATCCAGGTATTCCTCCATAAAACAAACGGACCGACCAGCTGGATCACGGGCCACTTAGCCACTGGAGCTCACTAATCGGATCTGCTTCAACTATCTTTCCTTGAGGCCTTTAGCAAAGGTTTTATGTCAACAAGCGGGCGTTGTAAAATATTTTACGAGTGCTTCATTCAATATGCTATTGAATCACTAGACTCATCCCCTGCTCATATCAAAAGCAGGAAGCAAACAAACCGCACAATATATTGTGTACATTCCTGATCAGCGGCCGTTTTGACCATCCCATTCGCATGCAGTGCTTGTTGGGGAAACGGGGCAGTTCGGGAGATTTCTCAACTAATCCTCACTATAGTTTGTATAGACGCTCTTGGAGTAACTGCCCATAATTTCCAGATTAAGTGAGGCTTCACTGTATGTATTTGTAGTATAAGTGGACACTTTCGGAATTGGACAAATTACTGATTGATTTTCATACAAACAAACGGTTTGAGGTAATCATTCGATTTCATAAAATGTCAACGGAGTTTACTCTGCATTTTGAATAACATGAGACCTTCCAAAGCACCATTCAGTTACACTAATATGTCACACTCACCAACAACTCGAATTCCATTGAACGAATCATGCCATTGTCTTTGGAAGTAAGATATTAAATATTGGATACAGGAATATAAGTACAGAATAAATATTGCATCCGTTTCTTTATTTCAAGAAATATACAAATACAAAAATAGCACAAACAAACAAAATATCTGCATGAGATCATCAAGGTAAGAAAATATCTGACTATTATATCTACAGGTGAGTGTTTTCCATATATTAGGCATGATTACCATAACCACATTTGTGTACATACAAAGAAAATGGGATTTTAGACTGTATATAACATGATCAACAGACTCAATATATACACATCACACATGCGCCTTGGCACATCTCATTGTACAAATTGACAAGAGCTATGGGACGTGTTGAATCGCTCTGGAAGTCCTGGAGAAAGGTATTACAATCAACACAGAGCACTATAGACAATACAACCGGGAACAGCTATAGGACGTGTTGAGTCTCTCTGAAAGTCCTGGAGAAAGGAATGACAATCAACACAGAGCTCTACAGACAATACAACTCGGAACAGCTATAGGACGTGTTGAGTCTCTCTGGAAGTCCTGGAGAAAGGTATGACAATCAACACACAGAGCACTATAGACAATACAACTGGGAACAGCTATAGGACGTGTTGAGTCGCTCCTGGAAGTCCTGGAGACACAGAGAATAGACAATCAACAGCTATAGGACGTGCTCTCTGAAGTCCTGGAGAAAGGTATGACAATCAACACAGAGCACTATAGACAATACAACCGGGAACAGCTACAGGACGTGTTGATCGCTCTGAAAGTCCTGGAGAAAGGTATGACAATCAACACACAGAGCTCTATAGACAATACAACCGGGAACAGCTACAGGACGTGTTGATCGCTCTGGAAGTCCTGGAGAAAGGTATGACAATCAACACACAGAGCACTAAAGGCCATACAACAAAAGGTTGTAGGAGTTCCAAGGCCTCATTCATAAAAAGCAACTTCAGCACTAGGACAATCAGCATTGTAAGCCTATGTCCAAGTATAGGGGTGACATCCATATTGGCGCCAAGATGACTTTGTGGGAACTAGGCTGTGGGTTTCTCTGCCAGGTGATACAAACGTCCAAATATCAACAGTGCCCATTACTGCCCGACAAATACCTTGAACATGTCAGACCACTATTTTATTTGTTCTGCTGTCCATTTGAAAATGTACTACACTGGGTCCCAAAAGCCAGTGTTATTGTCAAACACTTACTGAGTAGTTCATTTGTTGATCCTGCACAACATTTATGAGTGAGGGTGTATGAGGGTGAGAAATACCAAAGACTGGAAAACCCAAAATATGGTGTGGCCTACATTAGGTCACCAATTGAGTTGTTTGTTTATTGTTATGAAGTCTTGTGCAACTTATGGGAACACCCTGTGAAGAAAACAAAATATCACACAAAAAGGAAGCCTTGCAATGGTGGTAAAGCAAAACAGGAATGAAAATTGCTTTGAACATGTTCATAGATATATTTTGCTGACTCAGTTAAAAGTGAGATCAAAGTTTCAAGTTCCTTGAAGCAACCCCACACCATAGCAACACTGCTGACAAGCCAAGGGAGAGAATTGGGGATAAATAACAAGGGACATAACTCTGCATAGCAACTTGAACACAACCTGTCCATTTGTATTTGTCTGAATATCTAAGTAAACATGGAAATGTGGAACCAAAGTGAAGAAGCTCACTTTTCTAGTATTCAACAATATAAATGTCAATAAAGGCATCATGTCAACCATTACATAATAGAGCAGATATTACAAAATCACTGTTTTTGTAAGGATGTTTCTGACATGAATTCAGGGTTCATTACCGAAACGTCGACCTTCTAAAGCGTGTCAACACAAAATGGCAAGGAAGGCGCCGACAGTCTACACGCACCAATGGCTGGTTACAGTGGGATTGATGATTGAGATATACGTCATGCTGACGTATATGTGTGATATGATTGGATTAACTAGTGGCATTGGGTGAACACACTAAATAAGTGACATTGAGTGAACTCACTAAATAATAATATTCCAGTAGGTGAACAGATCTCATACTAAAATTGGTGATCACTTTTCGCACCCGATTTCAACTTTGGGTGACTCCCAGACTTTAATCCCTTGAAACAACAACGCTAAAACAACATATCACATCAAAGGATTTTTACCCTCAACCCCAGGGGTCGACGTTTCGGTAAGACCCCAAATTCAGACAGGCACCCATGCACAACATCTGTATTGATGGCAATCTAGGGACTGCCCAGAGGCTGAAGTTGTATCCTGTCTTCCAATAGGGTGAGCTTGGATTTATAGCTTCTCCTATGTGTGAACATTCTCTTATAATTCAGGGCAATGTTAAAGTAGAACTCTCAGGCATATTATAATGGCAACTGTACAGATGTCAAAACTGTTGATTGAAGGATGTATTTTGTGAAGTGTGTGTTGTAAATGGGAAATGCTTAGACTAAATTAATGCTTTTGGACAATACTACTCAAAGAAGTCCACTTCAAAATCAAATATGTCTTGTCACGATATGGCTGGAATATTGCCGATGTGATGTTAAATATTAACTCACTCACTCACTCATTCAAAGAAGTTAAAGAATGGCATGGTATGACCGACTGATTATAGTAATTGAAAGAACTGGATGATCTTGAACGTCTGTTGTGTAGTAGATTCATGAAAACAAATTGTATATATCTGGTCAATGAAATGCATCCTAAAATCACATTGGTTTCATCGAAAGAAATTTCACCAACATAAAACAATTTAGTCATCACTCATTATTTGAGTACCATGTTGAAAAATGTAATTTTGATATTCACCACTTAAGAATCACAATCATAGATCAGGAATAATGTTAGAAAGATCAAAGAATTCTTAAATTTCCCAATATGGCTGCCACAGTGGCCATTTTGAATTTTTTTTTAAATTGAAATTAAATAATCACTGCCACATGAACTTATTACATTAAGAGGCAAATATTCCACAATCCTATTCTGTGTTATTGTTAATGTACAGCAATATCAATACTTTTTCTGTTTTCCCATGACTAGTTAATCAGAAATTTGTTTAAATGCCTTCTCATATGGTTTTTAGCTAGTTTTTCAAGAAAGTTGTTATAAACGATTAGGCTTAATGAACAAAGAAAGCCTTTGATATGCTGTTTGTCAAAAGAATAGATAATTTTGGGAGATGTCTCATTATTATGAATTTATTGGCCCCACAAAATGGCTGTATTTGAAAGGTATTCCCTGTCTCCGTTTCCGCACACATAGACAGCTGACCGTGACGGCCAGGGCCACAATGAGTGTTCCCATACCCCCAATAATATAGTAAACATACTGTGGGAGGGGTGGTGGGTGGCGGCGTTTGTGGTGGGTGGTGGTATGGTGGGGGTTGCTGGTGGTATGGTGGTGAGGCTGGGGAGTTGTACCACTCCAGAACAAGCAGTTGTTATATTTGTATAGGTCCAGATACAGAATGGCGCAGATTTGGCTTGTGTAGCACGTCTGTCCACATACTGCTGAATTGTTGTAGCTGACGGTGTTGTAATCCATGTAGTGCTTGAACAGAACGTTGGAGGCTTGGAAGGTGTTGGCGAGGTTGTCGAAGCTGCGGGGGCTGCAGTCGGTGATGTTGTAAGCCTGTGTTGCCTGGTACTCAAGCTGCCACTTCCCTGGACTAAGATGATCCTTGTTAGCCTGGGTAAGGTTGAGGTAGTACTGCTGGTAGTCCATGATGGTGCTGGTGGACCGGGAATAGTGGTACAGCCTGACTGATGGGTTGTTGGCCCGACACGAGGGAGCGGACTCTTCCAGGGGGTCAAGGCCGGGCTTAGATACATGAGGCTTGAGGTGGTGCCTGCAAGATGGAAGATGTTTGGATGTGAGGCGAATGCATGGCATGAGTGAGAACAACTTGATGCAGTCACATGAACTCACATACCTAATACAGGTGACTAATGCATTGTGCAGGCATGGAGACACCAGCATGCAGTCACATACCTAATGCAGGTGACTAATGCATTGTGCAGGCATGAAGACACCAGCATGCAGTCACATACCTAATACAGGTGACTAATGCATTGTGCAGGCATGAAGACACCAGCATGCAGTCACATACCTAATACAGGTGACTAATCCATTGTGCAGGCATGAAGACACCATCATGCAGTCACATACCTAATACAGGTGACTAATGGAGACACCAGCATGTGCATACCTATGGGTGACAATGCATTGTGCATGCAGCATGCAGTCACATACCCTAATAATACAGGTGACTAATGCATTGCTAATGCAGGAAGACACCAGCATGCAGTCACATACTAATGCGGGTGACACCTAAATGCATTGTGCAGGCAGAAGACACCAGCATGCATACATACCTAATACAGGTGACTAATGCATTGTGCAGGCATGGAGACACCAGCATGCAGTCACATACCTAACACAGGGTGACTAATGCATTGTGCAGGCAGGAAGACACCAGCATGCATGCAGGTGCAGGCATGAAGACACCAGCATGCAGTCACATACCCTAATACAGGTGCAGAGCATGGAGACACCAGCATGACTAATGCATTTGTGCAGGCATGAAGACACCAGCATGCAGTCACATACCTAATCTAATACAGGTGACTAATGCATTGTGCAGGCATGAAGACACCAGCATGCAGTCACATACCTAATCTAATACAGGTGACTAATGCATTGTGCAGGCATGAAGACACCAGCATGCAGTCACATACCTAAATACAGGTGACTAATGCATTATGCAGGCATGAAGATTATGCACCAGCATGCAGTCACATACCTAATACAGGTGACTAATGCATTGTGCAGGCATGAAGACACCAGCATGCAGTCACATACCTAATCTAATACAGGTGACTAATGCATTATGCAGGCATGAAGACACCAGCATGCAGTCACATACCTAATACAGGTGACTAATGCATTGTGCAGGCATGAAGACACCAGCATGCAGTCACATACCTAATACAGGTGACTAATGCATTATGCAGGCATGAAGATACCAGCATGCAGTCACATACCTAATACAGGTGACTAATGCATTGTGCAGGCATGAAGACACCAGCATGCAGTCACATACCTAATCTAATACAGGTGACTAATGCATTGTGCAGGCATGAAGATACCAGCATGCAGTCACATACCTAATGCAGGTGACTAATGCATTATGCAGGCATGAAGATACCAGCATGCAGTCACATACCTAATGCAGGTGACTAATGCATTATGCAGGCATGAAGACACATACCATGACTATGCAGTCACATGGTACCTAATGCAGGTGACTAATGGATCATGTGCAGGCATGAAGACACCAGCATGCAGTCACATACCTAATGCAGGTGACTAATGCATTGTGCAGGCATGAAGACACCAGCATGCAGTCACATACCTAATACAGGTGACTAATGCATTGTGCAGGCATGGAGACACCAGCATGCAGTCACATACCTAATGCAGGTGACTAATGCATTGTGCAGGCATGAAGATACCAGTATGCAGTCACATACCTAATGCAGGTGACTAATGCATTGTGCAGGCATGAAGATACCAGCATGCAGTCACATACCTAATGCAGGTGACTAATGCATTGTGCAGGCATGAAGATACCAGTATGCAGTCACATAACTAATACAGGTGTCTAATCCATTGTGCAGGCATGGAGACACCAGCATGCAGTCACATACCTAATACAGGTGACTAATGCGTTGTATGTGTCACATACCTTGTGCATCCTCCACAAGTCTGAAGGAATCAGTGTGCTCATGGCCACAGAAATGGGCAGCTATTGTTTCTGAGTGTTCTGTGATAAGATCCAGATAATGCCTGTTGAACTCGGGGTAGAACCAGGTCATGCTTTGCAGTCTCTCAAAGGCCCCCGGGCAGATGTGAGCCACGATGTATACCTGCAACATAGAGTTAGACCCACCATCAGCTATATACATATACAACACTGACCAATATGTATACAACACTGACCAGGATATATACAGCATTGACCAGGATATATACAACACTGACCAATATGTATACAACACTGACCAGGATATAAACAACACTGACCAGGATATATGTCAACACTGACCAGGATATATACAACACTGACCAGGATATATGTCAACACTGACCAGGATATACACAACACTGACCAGGATATATACAGCATTGACCAGGATATATATACTAGCCACATAAAGAAACTGTGCACACAGAAAATGCCTTCAGAATTGGAATACAACACAGCAAAGACGAAATGATGTAGACACTTTATAAGCTGAAGTATCGGACCACAAGAAAATGTCAAAAGAACATGAACAATATCCGTAACGATGACGTCAGAAGTTCAAAATCGAGCATTGGCTACCAAATGAGCATTGGAGGCCTGGGAAATGGTCTGGGGCGTGGTCACTGCTGTCTGAACCACAACATTTTCTTTAGGCCTGATATATACAACACTGACCAGGATATATACAGCACTGACCAGGATATTTACAGCACTGACCAGGATATATAGTGAAACCTGCCAAAACCGACACCTGTCAGTGTCTAATCTGGCACACTGTCAAAACCGGCATAAGATTTTGGTCTGCCATTTTATAGCGATATTATGATCATTAAAACATTGTCTAATCCAGCACCTGTCTATTCCGTATTCTGGCCTGACTTTCCGGTCCCAGCAAGCAATTTCAACCGTCTCAACCGGCATGGGTATGAGCAGTCCAATCAAGGACCCATAATCCAATACACTCCTCTCGGCACGCTAGATTGAGAGATTGACGAGTGTAAATGGCAGCCATGTTGGAAAATGATTGTCACTGTTTATCTGGCAACCTGTCTAAACCGGCATTGAATTTCAGTCCCACAGAGTGCCGGTTTAGACAGGTTTCACTGTATACAACACTGACCAGGATATATGCCAACACTGACCAGGATATATGTCAACACTGACAGGGATATATGTCTACAATGATCGGGATATATACAGCACTGATCAGGATATATACAGCACTGACCAGGATATATACAACAACACATATTGATGAAGACATAATTGCGTTTTAGTTGGGATGAACACCAGTGTACAAAGAGTGAGTGAATGAGTGAGTTTAGTTTTACACCGCTTTTAGCAATATTCCAGCAATATCACGGTGGGGACACCTGACATGGGCTTCACACATTTTACCCATGTGGGGAATCGATCCCGGGTCTTCATCGTGACGAGCGAACGCTTTAACCACTAGGCTACCCTACCACTCCCAGTGTACAAAGAAATCCAGTGACTTCATTACCTTCTGTTGAGCTGCCTTGGCTTCTGTCAACTGCTGTCTGAGCCAGGCCAGCTGCTGGTTGGGATCAAGATTTCCTGTGACTTGTTTGTTCATTGAGTACCACAAGTTAGAGTTGAGCATGACCAGCCTCAAGCCTTTCTGTACAGACCGCGAATAGTAACCACCTACACAAAGGATTGACAAGGGTCATGCAGAGTGGATAGTATGTAGGGAGACAGGTGTCAGAGGATAGTATGTAGGGAGACAGGTGTCAGAGGATAGTATGTAGGGAGACAGGTGTCAGAGGATAGTATGTAGGGAGACAGGTGTCAGAGGATAGTATGTAGGGAGACAGGTGTTAGAGGATGGTATGTAGGGAGACAGGTGTCAGAGGATAGAAGGAAGGGATACAGGTGTCATAGGATAGTATGTAGGGAGACAGGTGTCAGAGGATAGTATTAGGGAGACAGGTGTCAGAGGGATAGTATGAAGGGATACATGCAGGTGTCATAGGTGAGGAGACAGGTGTTGCAGTGGATGGTAGGTGGGGAGACAGGTGTCAGTGCATAGTATGTAGGGGAGACAGGTGTTGCAGTGGATGGTACATGCAGGGAGGGGCACCGACAGGATGTATGTGGGGAGACAGGAGTTGCAGTGGATGGATGAGGAGGCGGGTGTCATGTGGTAGGGAGACAGGTGTTGCAGTGGATGTGTGCGTGGGGAGGAGACAGGTGTTGCAGTGGATGGTATGTAGGGAGACAGGTGTTGCAGTGGATGGTACGTAGGGAGACAGGTGTTGCAGTGGATGGTAGGTGATGAGAAAAGTGTTGCAGTGGATGGTATGTAGGGAGACAGGTGTTGCAGTGGATGGTATGAAGGGAGACAGGTGTTGCAGTGGATGGTACGTAGGGAGACAGGTGTTGCAGTGGATGGTACGTAGGGAGACAGGTGTTGCAGTGGATGGTATGTGGGGAGACAGGTGTTGCAGTGGATGGCAAGGGAGACAGAGTGTTACAGTGGATTTAGCATGTAGGGGAGACAGGTGTTACACAGTGGATGGTGCAGTGGAGACAGGTGTAGGGAGACAGGTGTTGCAGTGGATGGTGGATGGTAGGGGAGACAGGTGTTGCAGTGGATGGTACGTAGGGAGACAGGTGTTGCAGTGGATGGTAGGAGACAGGTGTACAGGGATGGTATGAGGAGACAGGTGTTGCAGTGGATGGTATGTAGGGAGACAGGTGTTGCAGGGATGGTATGTAGGGAGACAGGGAGACAGTTTACAGTGGATGGTATGTAGGGAGACAGGTGTTGCAGTGGATGGTACGAGGGAGACAGGTGTTGCAGTGGATGATGTAGGATGACCGTCAGGAATGGTTAGGCAGTGGATGGTATGTATGACAGGTAGGGAGACACAGGTGTTGCAGTGGATGGTAGGAGACGGTGTTGCAAGGGAGACAGGTGTTGCAGTGGATGGCACGTAGGGAGACAGGCAGTGGATGGTAGGTGAGACAGGTGTTGCAGTGGATGGTACGTAGGGGGTGTTGCACAGGAGACAGGTGGCATGGCCATGCATGAGGAAAGTGCAGTGGATGTAGGACACAGGTGTTACAGTGGATGGTATGTGTGGGGAGACAGGTGGCACATGTAGGAGACAGGAAGGTGTTGCAGTGGATGGTATGTGGGGAGACAGGCGGAGGTATGTGGGGAGACAGGTGTTGCAGTGGATGGTATGTAGGGAGGCGGGTGTTGTCAGTGGATGGTATGTGGGGAGACAGGTGTTGCAGTGGATGGCATGTGCATATGGATGGTAGGGAGACAGGTGTTGCAGGGATGGCAGGTGTCACCATGGATGGTAAGGTGTTGCAGTGGATGGCACGAGGGAGGCGGGTGTCACCATGGATGGCATGTAGGGAGACAGGTGTTGCAGTGGATGGCACGAGGGAGGCCGGGTGGATGGTAAGTGTAGGGAGACAGGTGGCAACGAGGGTGTCACCAGGATGGATGGTGCTTGCAGTGGATGGTACAGTAGGGAGGCAGGTGTCACCATGGATGGTATGTAGGGAGACAGGTGTTGCAGTGGATGGTACGGGAGACAGGTGTTGCAATTGGAGGAAGGGGAGGCACCATGGATGGTATGTAGGGAGACAGGTGTTGCAGTGGATGGTACGTAGGGAGGCGGGTGTCACCATGGATGGTATGTAGGGAGACAGGTGTTGCAGTGGATGGTACGTAAGGGAGGCGGGTGTCACCATGGATGGTATGTAGGGAGACAGGTGTTGCAGTGGATGGTACGGTAGGGAGGCGGGTGTCACCAGTGGATGGTATGGTAGGGGAGAGACAGGTGTTGCAGTGGATGGTGTTGCGAGGGGAGGCGGTGTCACCATGGATGGGGGAGACAGGTGTTGCAGTGGATGGTACGTGGGGAGACAGGTGTTGCAGTGGATGGTATGTAGGGAGACAGGTGTTGCAGTGGATGGTACGTAGGGAGACAGGTGTTGCAGTGGATGGTACGTAGGGAGACAGGTGTTGCAGTGGATGGTACGTAGGGAGACAGGTGTTGCAGTGGATGGTACGTAGGGAGACAGGTGTTGCAGTGGATGGTACGTAGGGAGACAGGTGTCACCATGTATGGTATGAGGGGAGAAAAGTCTTGCAGTGGATGGTATGTAGGGAGACAGGTGTCACCATGTATGGTATATGGGGAGACAGGTGTTGCAGTGGATGGTATGAGGGAGACAGGTGTCAGCATGGATGGTATATTGCAAATAGTGTTATCGTCTATGCTCTATGAAGATACATGTCCTAATATCTCTGCTCTATTGATACACATGTCCATATATATATGCTCTATTGATACACATGTCCCAATATCTCTGCTCTATTGATACACATGTCCCAATATCTCTGTTATATTGATACACATGTCCCAATATCTCTGCTCTATTGATACACATGTCCTAATATCTCTGTTCTATTGATACACATGTCCTAATATCTCTGCTCTATTGATACACATGTCCCAATATCTCTGCTCTATTGATACACATGTCCTAATATCTCTGTTCTATTGATGCACATGTCCCCTAATATCTCTGCTCTATTGATACACATGTCCCAATATCTCTGCTCTATTGATACACATGTCCTTATATCTCTGTTATATTGATACACATGTCCTTATATCTCTGCTCTATTGATACACATGTCCCAATATCTCTGCTCTATTGATACACATGTCCCAATATCTCTGCTCTATTCATACACATGTCCTTATATCTCTGCTATATTGATACACATGTCCTAATATCTCTGCTCTATTGATACACATGTCCTAATATCTCTGCTCTATTGATACACATGTCCCAATATCTCTGTTATATTGATACACATGTCCCAATATCTCTGCTCTATTGATACACATGTCCCAATATATCTGCTCTATTGATACACATGTCCCAATATCTCTGCTCTATTGATACACATGTCCTAATATCTCTGCTCTATTGATACACATGTCCTAATATCTCTGCTCTATTGATACACATGTCCTAATATCTCTGCTCTATTGATACACATGTCCCAATATCTCTGCTCTATTGATACACATGTCCTAATATCTCCGCTCTATTGATACACATGTCCTAATATCTCTGCTCTATTGATACACATGTCCCAATATCTCTGTTATATTGATACACATGTCCTAATATCTCTGCTCTATTGATACACATGTCCCAATATCTCTGCTCTATTGATACACATGTCCCAATATCTCTGCTCTATTGATACACGTCCTAATATCTCTGCTCTATTGATACACATGTCCTAATATCTCTGCTCTATTGATACACATGTCCTAATATCTCTGCTCTATTGATACACATGTCCTAATATCTCTGCTCTATTGATACACATGTCCTAATATCTCTGCTCTATTGATACACATGTCCCAATATCTCTGCTCTATTGATACACATGTCCTAATATCTCCGCTCTATTGATACACATGTCCTAATATCTCCACTCTATTGATACACGTCCTAATATCTCTGCTCTATTGATACACATGTCCTAATATCTCTGTTCTATTGATACACATGTCCCAATATCTCTGTTATATTGAAACACATGTCCTAATATCTCTGCTCTATTGATACACATGTCCTTATATCTCTGTTATATTGATACACATGTCCCAATATCTCTGTTATATTGATACACATGTCCTAGCTAGTATATCTGCTCTATGGAGACATATGTCCTTATATTTCTGCTCTAACCTTTCTGAAACTGGTCCTGCTCGTGTTTCTCTAGGAGTTCCGACCAGTCCCCCTTGGTCAGGATATCGTCATAGTAATGAGTTCCACTTTCCACCAGAGGCATCTGATTGGATGGGAAAGCATCATGGTTGCCCAGCAGAGGAAGCAGGGTGGTGTTTGGGAATGCTTCCTTCAGAACTGTAGATATGTTTCTTATCAGTCCAAAGACATCATCTACGCTCTTCTTGCGTCACATGCGGTACAGTGTCCCTGTAAAACAAACATTTAACATCTTCAATGTCCCAACACCCTTCATTTCACAACATGTCCATGTTGTTAGTGTTCCCTGTTATCAGTGTTCCCTGCCGTGAACAGTGTTCCCTGTTATAAGTGTTCCATGTTATCAGTGTTCCCTGCTATCAGTGTTCCCTGTTATCAGTGTTCCCTGCCGTGAACAGTGTTCCCTGCCGTGAACAGTGTTCCCTGTTATCAGTGTTCCATGTTATCAGTGTTCCCTGCTATCAGTGTTCCCTGTTATCAGTGTTCCCTGCCGTGAACAGTGTTCCCTGTTATCAGTGTTCCATGTTATCAGTGTTCCCTGCTGTGAACAGTGTTCCCTGTTATCAGTGTTCCATGTTATCAGTGTTCCCTGCTATCAGTGTTCCCTGCTGTGAACAATGTTCCCTGTTGTCAGTGTTCCCTGTTATCAGTGTTCCATGTTATCTGTGTTCCACGTTATCAGTGTTTCCTGGTATCAGTGTTCCCTGTTGTCAGTGTTCCCTGTTATCAGTGTTCCCTGTTTGTTATCAGTGTTCCATGGTATCAGTGTTCCCTGTTGTCAGTGTTCCCTGTTGTCAGCGTTCCCTGTTGTCAGTGTTCCCTGATATCAGTGTTCCCTGTTATCAGTGTTCCCTGTTATCAGTGTTCCCTGTTATCAGTGTTCCCTGTTGTCAGTGTTCCCTGTTGTCAGTGTTCCCTGTTATCAGTGTTCCCTGTTATCAGTGTCCCATGTTGTCAGTGTTCCCTGTTATCAGTGTTCCTCTGTTGTCAGTGTTCCCTGTTATCAGTGTCCCATGTTGTCAGTGTTCCCTGTTATCAGTGATCAGTGTTATCAGTGTTCCCTGTTATCAGTGTCCCATGTTGTCAGTGTTCCCTGTTGTCAGTGTTCCTCTGTTGTCAGTGTTCCCTGTTATCAGTGTTCCCTGTTATCAGTGTCCCATGTTGTCAGTGTTCCCTGTTATCAGTGATCAGTGTTATCAGTGTTCCCTGTTGTCAGTGTTCCCTGTTGTCAGTTCTCAGTGTTGTCAGTGTTCCCTGTTGTCAGTGTTTGCCCCTCTTGTCAACGTGTTCCCTGTTATCAGTGTCCCATGTTGTCAGTGTTCCCTGTTATCAGTGATCAGTGTAATCAGTGTTCCCTGTTGTCAGTGTTCCTCTGTTGTCAGTGTTCCCTGTTATCAGTGTTCCCTGTTATCAGTGTCCCATGTTGTCAGTGTTCCCTGTTATCAGTGATCAGTGTTATCAGTGTTCCCTGTTATCAGTGTCCCATGTTGTCAGTGTTCCCTGTTGTCAGTGTTCCTCTGTTGTCAGTGTTCCCTGTTATCAGTGTTCCCTGTTGTCAGTGTTCCCTGTTGTCAGTGTTCCCTGTTATCAGTGTTCCCTGTTATCAGTGATCAGTGTTTGGAGTGTTCCCTGTTATGTCAGTGTTTGGATGTGATCAGTGTTTGTGTATCAGTGTTCCCTGTTATCAGTGTTTGTATGTTGTCAGTGTTTGTTATGTGATCAGTGTTATCAGTGTTTGGATGTGATCAGTGTCCCATGTTGTCAGTGTTGATGTTGTCAGTGTTCCTCTGTTATCAGTGTTTGGATGTTATCAGTGTTTGGATGTGATCATGTTATCAGTGTTTGGATGTTATCAGTGTTTGGATGTGATCAGTGATCAGTGTTATCAGTGTTCCCTGTTATCAGTGTTTGGATGTTGTCAGTGTTTGGATGTTATCAGTGTTTGGATGTGTTTCCCTGTTATCAGTGTTTGATGTTGTCAGTGTTCAGTGTTTCAGTGATCAGTGTTATCAGTGTTCCTGTTATCAGTGTTTGGATGTTATCTGTGTTTGTGATCAGTGTTATCAGTGTTCCCTGTTATCAGTGTCCCATGTTGTCAGTGTTCCCTGTTATCAGTGATCAGTGTTATCAGTGTTTGGATGTTATCAGTGTCCCATGTTGTCAGTGTTCCTGTTGTCAGTGTTTGGATGTTGATCAGTGTTTGGATGTTATCAGTGTTTGGATGTTATCAGTGTTTGGATGTTATCAGTGTTCCTGTTATGTGATCAGTGTTATCAGTGTTTGGATGTTATCAGTGTCCCATGTTGTCAGTGTTCCAGTGTTATGGATGTGATCAGTGTTATCAGTGTTTGGATGTTATCAGTGTTTGGATGTATCAGTGTTCCTGTTATCAGTGTCCCATGTTGTCAGTGTTCCCTGTTGTCAGTGTTCCTCTGTTGCCAGTGTTCCCTGTTATCAGTGTTCCCTGTTATCAGTGTCCCATGTTGTCAGTGTTCCCTGTTATCAGTGATCAGTGTTATCAGTGTTCCCTGTTGTCAGTGTTCCATGTTGTCAGTGTTCCCTGTTGTCAGCGTTCCCTCTTGTCAGCGTTCCCTCTTGTCAGCGTTCCCTGTTGTCAGTGTTCCCTGTTGTCAGTGTTCCCTGTTATCAGTGTTCCCTGTTATCAGTGTTTCTTGCTGTGAACAGTGTGATGATGCTTTGTTCCATGCTAAAGACTGTCTGAAAGCCTTTCATTCACTCATGACTTGACATCATCAAAATGACATAAGACAAGATATATTTGCAGTCATTGATTCACTGTTTGAACATGCTAAAAATTAAATAAAGACATATCTTTACTCATCACTCTCATTCCTACAACACCTATCTGTATCTGTGTCTGACTGTGCCTCCCTGTGTTTCTAAACCAATGTCTGAATATGCTCCTGTGTCTGATAGTGTTGCTGTGTCTGACTGTGCCTCCCTGTGTTTCTAACCCAATGTCTGACTGTGCTCCTGTGTCTGATAGTGTCCCTGTGTCTGACTGTGCCACCCTGTGTTTCTAAACCAATGTCTGAATATGCTCCTGTGTCTGATAGTGTTGCTGTGTCTGACTGTGCCTCCCTGTGTTTCTAACCCAATGTCTGACTGTGCTCCTGTGTCTGATAGTGTCCCTGTGTCTGACTGTGCCTCCTGTGTCTCTCTCTAACCCAATGTCTGACTGTGCTCCTGTGTCTGATAGTGTCCTGTGTCTGACTGTGCCTCCCTGTGTCTCTAACCCAATGTCTGACTGTGCTCCTGTGTCTGATAGTGTCCCTGTGTCTGACTGTGCCTCCCTGTGTCTCTAACCCAATGTCTGACTGTGCTCCTGTGTCTGATAGTGTCCCTGTGTCTGACTGTGCCTCCCTGTGTCTCTAACCAAATGTCTGACTGTGCTCCTGTGTCTGATAGTGTCCCTGTGTCTGACTGTGCAACCCTGTGTTTCTAAACCAATGTCTGACTATGCTCCTGTGTCTGATAGTGTTGCTGTGTCTGACTGTGCCTCCCTGTGTTTCTAACCCAATGTGTGACTATGCTCCTGTGTCTGACAGTGTCCCTGTGTCTGACTGTGCCTCCCTGTGTCTCTAACCCAATGTCTGACAGTGTCCCTGTCTCTGACTGTGCCTCCCTGTGTCTGATAGTGTCCCTGTGTCTGACTGTGCCTCCCTGTGTTTCTAACCCAACGTCTGACTTTGCTCCTGTGTCTGATAGTGTCCCTGTGTCTGACTGTGCCTCCCTGTGTTTCTAACCCAATGTCTGACTATGCTCCTGTGTCTGACAGTGTCCCTGTGTCTGACTGTGCCTCCCTGTGTCTCTAACCCAATGTCTGAAAGTGTCCCTGTGTCTGACATTGCCTCCCTGTGTCTCTAACCCAATGTCTGACTGTGCTCCTGTGTCTGACTGTGCCTCCCTGTGTCACTAACCCAATGTCTGACTGTGCTCCTGTGTCTGATAGTGTCCCTGTGTCTGACTGTGCCTCCCTGTGTCTCTAACCCAATGTCTGACTGTGCTCCTGTATCTGACTGTACCTCCCTGTGTTTCTAACCCAATGTTTGACTATGCTTCTGTGTCTGACAGTGTCCCTGTGTCTGACTGTGCCTCCCTGTGTCTCTAACCCAATGTCTGATAGTGTCCCTGTGTCTGACTGTGCCTCCCTGTCTCTAACCCAATGTCTGACGGTGCTCCTGTGCCTGATAGTGTCCCTGTGTCTGATTGTGCCACCCTGTGTTTCTAACCCAATGTCTGACTATGCTCCTGTGTCTGATAGTGTCCCTGTGTCTGACTGTGCCTCCCTGTGTCTCTAACCCAATGTCTGACTGTGCTCCTGTGTCTGATAGTGTCCCTGTGTCTGACTGTGCCTCCCTGTGTCTCTAACCCAATGTCTGACTGTGCTCCTGTGTCTGATAGTGTCCCTGTATCTGACTGTGCCTCCCTGTGTCTCTAACCAAATGTCTGACTGTGTTCCTGTGTCTGATAGTGTCCCTGTGTCTGACTGTGCCTCCCTGTGTTTCTAACCCAATGTCTGACTATGCTCCTCTGTCTGACAGTGTCCCTGTGTCTGACTGTGCTACCCTGTGTCTCTAACCCAATGTCTGACAGTGTCCCTGTGTCTGACTGTGCCTCCCTGTGTCTCTAACCAAATGTCTGACTGTGCTCCTGTGTCTGATAGTGTCCCTGTGTCTGACTGTGCCACCCTGTGTTTCTAAACCAATGTCTGAATATGCTCCTGTGTCTGATAGTGTTGCTGTGTCTGACTAACCCTCCTGTCTGACTGTGCTGTGTTCCTTGAGCACCCTGTGCCTATGCCTCCCTGTGTCTCTAACCCAATGTGTCGACTATGCCTCCTGTGTCTGACTGTGTCCCTGTGTCTGACTGTGCCAATGTCTCTGACTAACTCCTGTGTCTGATAGTGTCCCTGTGTCTGACTGACTGTGCCTCTGATCCTCCTGTGTCTGATAGTGTCCCTGTGTCTGACTGTGTTCTCCTGTGTTTCTAACCCTCCTCTGACTATGCTCCTGTGTGTCTGATAGTGTCCCTGTGTCTGACTGTGCCTCCCTGTGTTTCTAACCCAATGTCTGACTGTGTCTGATGCTCCTGTGTCTGACCCAGTGTCCTGTGTCTGACTGTGCCTCCCTGTGTTTCTAACCCAATGTCTGACTATCCCTGTCCTGTGCCTCTGATAGTGTCCTGTGTCTGACTGTGCCTCCCTGTGTTTCTAACCCAATGTCTGACTGTGTCCCTGTGTCTGACAGTGTCCTCCTGTGTCTCTAACCCAATGTCTGACTGTGTGTGTGTCTGACTGTGCCTCCCTGTGTTTCTAACCCAATGTCTGACTGTGCTCCTGTGTCTGACAGTGTCCCTGTGTCTGACTGTGCCTCCCTGTGTCTCTAACCCAATGTCTGACAGTGTCCCTGTGTCTGACTGTGCCTCCCTGTGTTTCTAACCCAATGTCTGACTATGTTTCTAACCCAATGTCTGATTCATGCTCTGTGTCTGACAGTGTCCCCGTGTCCTGTGCCTCCTGTGTCTCTAACCCAATGTCTGACTGTGTCCCTGTGTCTGATAGACTGTGCCTCCCTGTGTTCCTAACCCAATGTCTGACTGTGCTCCTGTGTCTGATAGTGTCCCTGTGTCTGACTGTGCCACCCTGTGTTTCTAACCCAATGTCTGACTACTCCTGTGTCTGATAGTGTTGCTGTGTCTGACCAGTGCTAACCTGTCTGACTATGCTCTGTGTCTGATAGTGTTGCTGTGTCTGACTGTGCCTCCCTGTGTTTCTAACCCAATGCCTGACTATGCTCCTGTGTCTGACAGTGTCCCTGTGTCTGACTGTGCCTCCCTGTGTCTCTAACCCAATGTCTGACAGTGTCCCTGTGTCTGACTGTGCCTCCCTGTGTCTGATAGTGTCCCTGTGTCTGACTGTGCCTCCCTGTGTTTCTAACCCAATGTCTGACTGTGCTCCTGTGTCTGATAGTGTCCCTGTGTCTGACTGTGCTCCTGTGTCTGACTGTGCCTCCCTGTGTCACTAACCCAATGTCTGACTGTGCTCCTGTGCTCCTGTGTCTGACAGTGTCCCTGTGTCTGACTGTGCCTCCTGTGTCTTCTAACCCAATGTCTGACTGTGCTCCTGTGTCTGACTGTGCCTCCCTGTGTCTAACTAACCCAATGTGTCTGACTGTGCCTTCTGTGTCTCTAACCCACGTCTGGACAGTGTCCCTGTGTCTGACTGTGCCTCCCTGTGTCTCTAACCCAATGTCTGACAGTGTCCCTGTGTCTGACTGTGCCTCCCTGTGTCTCTAACCCAATGTCTGACTGTGCTCCTGTGCCTGATAGTGTCCCTGTGTCTGACTGTGCCACCCTGTGTTTCTAACCCAATGTCTGACTATGCTCCTGTGTCTGATAGTGTTGCTGTGTCTGACTGTGCTACCCTGTGTTTCTAACCCAATGTCTGACTATGCTCCTGTGTCTGATAGTGTTGCTGTGTCTGACTGTGCCTCCCTGTGTTTCTAACCCAATGCCTGACTATGCTCCTGTGTCTGACAGTGTCCCTGTGTCTGACTCCTGTGCTCTCCCTGTGTCTCTAACCCAATGTCTGACAGTGTCCCTGTGTCTGACTGTGCCTCCCTGTGTCTGATAGTGTCCCTGTGTCTGACCTGTGTCTGACTGTGCCTCCCTGTGTTTCTAACCCAATGTCTGACTGTGCTCCTGTGTCTGATAGTGTCCCTGCATCTGACTGTGCCTCCCTGTGTCTCTAACCCAACGTCTGACTTTGCTCCAGTGTCTGATAGTGTCCTTGTGTGCCTGACTGTGCCCTCCTGTGTTTCTAACCAAATGTCTGACTATGCTCCTGTGTCTGATAGTGTCCCTGTGTCTTACTGTGCCTCCCTGTGTTTCTGTGCCTCCCTGTGTCTCTAACCCAATGTGTCTGACTATGCCCTGTGTCTGACTGTGCCTTCGAGCAGTGTCCCTGTGTCTGACTGTGCCTCCCTGTGTCTCAAGCCCAACGCCAATGTCTGAAAGTGTCCCTGTGTCTGACTGTGCCTCCTGTGTTCTAACTCCAATGTCTGACTGTGCTCCCTGTGTCTGATAGTGTCCTGTGTCTTACTGTGCCTCCTGTGTCTCTAACCCAATGTCTGACTATGCTCCTGTGTCTGATAGTGTCCCTGTGTCTGACTGTGCCTCCCTGTGTTTCTAACCCAATGTCTGACTGTGCTCCTGTGTCTGATAGTGTCCCTGTGTCTGACTGTGCCTCCCAGCCCTGATTGTTTCCCCTGTTCCTCGCCCTAACCAATGTCACCTCTGTGTCTGACTCTGCACCTTGCATTCCAATGTCATATAGTTTAAATCTATCTGCCTGTCTTCCTGTGTCTAGTGCCTAAGTGGGTCTGATGGTGTCCCATGTCAGATTGTCTCTATCTCTCTGGCTGTGTCTTCCTGTGTCTGTGCCCTGACTGGCCCTCCTGTGTCTGACTATGCACCTGTGTCCATCTACCTTCTCATACCCAGAATGTGTCCCTGTATCTGTCTGGATTGTGCCCCTTCATCTGACTCTGTGTCTTAATGTGCCCATGTCTGATGCCCTGTGTCTGAATGTGCCCCTGTGTCTCACTCCGTGTCTGCATGTGTCCCTGTATCTGTCTGGATTGTGCCCCTGTGTCTGACTCCCTGTATCAGAATGTGTTCCTCTGTCTGACTCCCTGTGTCTGGATGTGCCCCTGTGTCTGACTCGCTGTATCAGAATGTGTCCCTGTACCTGTCTGGATTGTGCCCCTGTGTCTGTCTCCCTGTGTCTGAATGTGCCCTGTGTCTGATTCCCTGTGTGTGAATGTGTGCATGGGTCTGGCTCCCTGTGTGTGAATGTGCCCCTGTCTCTGACTCCCTGTGTGTGAATGTGCCCCTGTCTCTGACTCCCTGTCTGAATGTGCCCCTGTGTCTGACTCAGTGGATCTGATTGTGCACCTGTGTCGGACTCCCTGTGTCTGAATGTGCCCCTGTGTGTGACTCCCTGTGTCTCACTGGCCTTGTTACGACCATTGTGCCATGTCTGACTGTGACTCCCTGTGTCTCACTGGCCTTGTTGCGACCATTGTGCCGTGTTTGACTGTGACTCCATGTAACCTTATGCTACCATGTAACTGTCTTCCTGTGTCTGGCCTACATGAAGTACTCACCCTGTCCACAGTATAAAGTCAGGTTCTGCCTCCATGTTTCTCATGTTTTCAATGACAGACTCCACAAGATTAAAAGGGGAATCGCACAAGTAGTTGCCATAGTAACCTGGGTTCCCAGTACTGTCATTGCTAAAATGGCACTGTTTCTTGGGGTTCCCATTCTGACTGTAGTCGGGATCAAAATGGACATCTGACAACTGCCAGAACTTTCCTACAACAAAGATGAAGACATGAAAACAAATTATTAACAAATTATCAAAGGAGCAAGGATGAAACTTTAATTACATGTCAAATGTGTCAAGCATACCAGAGGCATTACAAAAGGTTGTTCTTTGCTTTCTGTAAATGCTGAAAATGACACCTTCTTTGATATGGAAACATGGATTAACTGATGAAAGTTGTTGGCTATCTTATTTCTGTCAGTATCAGATGCACGTTTTAGAACAACATGATCATGTACAAGCTACCCTGAGTTAAGAGTGCTTGTATTTCAAACTTCAGCAGCAAATGTAACTTTGGTAAGTCCATGCCCATCTTTGCAAAGCAAGCTCGTCCACTATAGCCATTGTGACAGTTTAGGGTCCGGCCTTGCCATTTCTAGCATGTGGGAAAATATTAAAGGACTATCATACATCAGTCCAATCAGAGAATGTTTTATAAATCAACATCCTCATTCAATGATATGGCCATTAACAGCCATATACATCTAGCTGGAATCTTACTGAGTGTGGCGTAAAACTAAACTCACTCACTCAGAAGAGATTTAATTTTGAAAGTTTATCGTGGGTCTGTTGCTAAACCAGAAACATGACTGTGATCGTGATTTGAAACCTGTGACCGACCAATCACAGCAGAGCACCCCACAATGTCATAATAGAATCCCATTTGACCAAGAGCCAATTTCGGCTCTTACCAGTTTCCTAGTCAGGACGTAGCTCGAAAACAAAGCTCCTTAAGTAATCTTTCCACCAAGAAACGGTAAGTCTGTCTAAAGATTGTGAAACAGTGGTATATATATATCTTTAGAATTATAGGCCGCTCGGTAGCTGGGTGATATATGTTTATTTCCGCTTCAGTGGATGTCTAATTCTGACGCTTGTTCTAAAATTGTTGCTCGCTACACAGTCCGTGGCTTCCTTTTGCAACACGAGGCAGGTGTTTGTTATGTCCATTACTTTTGAAAACATGGTCAATTCTACCTACCTATGTCCCCACCCAAAGCAAACCCAGAAGTTATCCATAGAATCACGCATAACAAACGCAGCATTTTCTGACTCCTCGAATGTTGACAGTCTACATTGAGTCCAGGAAATGAACTTGTTTTAATCACCCGGTGTCGGGTCAATTTGTACCCTGTGGAATATGGATCATCAGTTTTGCATAGTCATATTTCGTACATCATGAAGTAAATTTGTTGTCGAACTGAAAATCAACTGATACAATATCCAATAATTAGATTTCTCATAAATGTATAGATCAAGGTGCTACTTTAAGGTCAGCTTTGGTGTGGGAATATCGTGAAAGCTCTCATTTTGTGGACATTGCATCATGCAGTTGAAGACATTTGCTTGATTGTCTTCAAGAAGTTTGTGAGTAAATAAGAAAACATAATAAACTTTATGGATAACAACTATGATGCTGCACCTTGTTAACAACGTAACAACAAAAGTTGTTATCCATAAAATTGTATATTTCTCATTTGAGGATACTTTTTGTTGTGCAGCCTAGTTTTGTTGACAGGCAGTTATGTGAGGAAAAAATAGCAATATTTTAATTTATGGTATTTCTCTATGGACTACACTACACCTTTAGACCACACAACCAATTCAGTAAACCACAATATGCCTTACGTAGTTCACACTACATCTCAAGTAGTCCACAAGTCCACACACGACAGCAATCTACATGACATCTGGCTTCCACACCACATCTTCCATCATCCACACAACACCATCAGTAGTGACAGCCCCCTTTCACCATGTTCATCAGTGGATAGTGTAATCTGCCGGTGAGCAGAAGGGTGGCAGTGCCATTCCCCATAGCATCATGTTAAAAGATGACCGCGTGTAGTGGTGTAGTGGTTAGAGTGTCCGCCCGGAGCGCGGAAGGTCGCCAGTTCGATCCCCGACCGCGTCATACCAAAAGACGTTAAAGTATGATACTTGTTGGTCCCTGCCTGGAGCTCGGCATAAATGGGTAAATCAAGGACTGGTCGGCTCGGAGTCAGTATAATGTGTCTGAGTGGGGTATTCATGCTTCACTGCGGCATGGTATCTCAGTGGGCTAGCACTATAAAACCAGCTTAAGTCTGGGCTAGTACAAGCAGCCGCACATACACATACACACGCATGCACGTCGTCATATGAGCGAAATATTCTCAAGCACGACGTTAAACCTACTTTCACCTCACCTCATGCTAAAAGACACTAATAGGTGGTACTTGATAGCCTGCTTGTCTACATGTTACACCATGTTACAGTGGCAGCCTTTTGTCCCTGTTTCAGCAATGGCCTTGAGAGTGGCACAAGTAGCCCAGTGGCAGGAGTACAGTCAGTGTCAGTTGAGCAGATGTGCCAGTGAGAGAGATGTGGCAGACAGATTGAAAGTAAGTTGACAATACTCCACTCTCCTTAGCACATCTCATACAATACAGCATGGCAGCCTAGAGAACACGACTCCACTTACGGAGATCAGAACGGCTGAGACTTTACAACATTTATAGATTGAGGATGGCCATTAGAGTCTTTGACTTTCATTTACTTGAAGAGGGTAAATGGGTTAGTATTTGCTTTTTAACTCTTCTTTGATGTTAAAATGTTTGGCCTTAACTTCCTGCTATTGCCTGCCCTATTACTACAGTGAGATAGAAACTTTAAGGTAAGCGTGAGAATGTGTGGTAACTTGACTGTATTACTTAACAACGAAACACTGCCTCATTTTACATCAATGACATGTCCCTTATATTTCAGGAACTTGATTCATATCTTGAGAAGAGGGTTTATTTTGTTGGTAATGAAGAAAGTGAAGCAGACGTCTCTATTTTCCAGTCTCTCAACAACACAATGGTGAGTAAAATATCTCATGTTAACCTGAATTTATGTCTTCAATCTGTTGACATGTTTTTATCACCGGCAGCATCGCCTCATATTTCAGACAAACCTCGGCTTCCCAGAGAAGGAGACCTACAGAAATGTTTCCCGCTGGTTCAACCATGTGAGTACATAACTGTTGGCTTGAGCGACATGACTCCAAAATATGCTCTGATGCTCAGTGGGCTGGTTGGCAGCATAGATCATAGTGATAGATAAGTGTTAACGAATTATAGATCCATTATCAATAAATATCTGAAAAGTAACTTTGAGAAAATATGTGAAAAGCTCCTAAGGGAAACAGCATACTAGTATGTCATATCACTGGTTCTGGGGTGTAATGGAACATTTATGCATGGATCAGTTTGTGGATGTTTAAAATTTAACAAAAACAATTGCTTTCAGCAAAAACAAGTTTGTTTTGGTGTAATAAAACTTGACTTGGTCACAATATGTATTGTAGGATATTATGGATAACACAAAATTCATATTGATAATTGTTAATATTTTCTCCAAACTAAATTTCCATCGAATTTTCCATTATCGATAATTTTCCCCTGCCTTAGATGTTCATGACCAAACAATCCTCCAGACCCTGAAAAGATATATAATGCCATAAGCTTCATCCACTGATGCTGTAAAACTTCCCATTATCTGGACTTTGATTTCAATGCACTTTTGAATCGTGTCTAGAAATTTTTGTATGTGTTGGGGAGTGGTCCAACTTTTCTCAGCTGTAGGAATGTTTTGCCTTCCAAATCCAATAACAGACATGTTGCTTGGAAGTGAAGCTGAGCTCTGTGGATGATAGTTGTAGTGCATTGAGGATTGAATTAGTTTGATTTCAGTTGTCTGAATGCACCAACATGATGGACATGATATTGTGTTGCCTGGGTGTGATACATAATTGCCTGGGTGTGATACATAGTTGCTTGAGTGTGATATTGATTTCTCTGGGTGTGATATTGACTTGCCTGGGTGTGATATTGATTTGCCTGGGTGTGATATTGATTTGCCTGGATGTGATATATTGATTTGCCGGGTGTGATATTGATTTGTTGCCTGGGTGTGATATTGATTTGCCTGGGTGTGATATTGATTTGTCTGGAGTGATGATATTGATTTGTTGCCTGAGTGTGATATTGATTTGCCTGGGTGTGATATTGATTTGTCTGAGTGTGATATTAGATTTGCCTGGGTGTGATATTGATTTGCCTGTTGCCTGGAGTGATATTGATTTGTCTGGGTGTGATATTTGTCTGAGTGTGATGTGATTTGTCTGGAGTGTTATATTGATTTGCCTGGGTGTGATACATATAGTGCCTGGGTGTGATATTTTGTTTGCCTGGGAGTGATATTGATATTGATTTGCCTGGGTGTGATATTGATTGATATTGCCTGGGTGTGATATTGATTTGTCTGAGGTGTGATATTGATTTGTCTGAGTGTGATATTGATTTGCCTGCATGTGATTTGTCTGAGTGTGATATTGATTTGTCTGAGTGTGATACATAGTTGCCTGGAGTGATATTGATTTGATTTGCCTGGGTGTGATTTGTCTGAGTGTGATATTGATTTGTCTGATGTGATATTGATTTGCCTGGGTGTGATACATATTGATTTGCCTGGGTTGATTTGCCTGGGTGTGATATTGATTTGCCTGGGATGATTTGTCTGGGTGTGATTGATTTGCCTGGGTGTGATATTGATTTGCCTGGGTGTGATATTGATTTGATTGTGATATTGGTTTGACTGGGATGTAATGATATGTGATATTGATTTGTCTGAGTGTGATATTGATTTGCCTGGGTGTGATACATAGGTTGCCTGGGTGTGATACATAGTTGTGTGGGAGTGTATTGATATTGTTTGCCTGGGTGTGATATTGATTTGTCTGGGTGTGATATTGATTTGTCTGAGTGTGATATTGATTTGTCTGGGTGTGATATTGGTTTGCCTGGGTGTGATATTGATTTGTCTGGGTGTGATTGATTTGTCTGGGTGTGATATAGGTTGATACATATTGATTTGCCTGTCTGGGTGTGATATTGATTTGCCTGGGTGTAATATTGATTTGTCTGGGTGTGATACATAGTTGCCTGGGAGTGATATTGATTTGCCTGGGTGTGATATTGATTTGCCTGCATGTGATATTGATTTGTCTGAGTGTGATATTGATTTGACTGGGTGTGATACATAGCTGTGTGGGAGTGATATTGATTTGCCTGGGAGTGATATTGATTTGTCTGAGTGTGATATTGATTTGTCTGAGTGTGATATTGATTTGTCTGGGTGTGATATTGATTTGCCTGGGTGTGATATTGATTTGTCTGAGTGTGATATTGATTTGCCTGGGTGTAATATTGATTTGTCTGAGTGTGATACATAGTTGCCTGGGAGTGATATTGATTTGCCTGGGTGTGATATTGATTTGCCTGGGTGTGATATTGATTTGCCTGGGTGTGATATTGATTTGACTGGGTGTGATACATGTGATATTGATTTGACATATAGACTTGTGTGGGAGTGATATTGATTTGCCTGGGTGTGATATTGATTTGCCTGGGTGTGATATTGATTTGTCTGGGTGTGATATTGATTTGTCTGGGTGTGATATTGATTTGTCTGGGTGTGATATTGATTTGTCTGGGTGTGATATTGATTTGTCTGGGTGTGATACATAGTTGCCTGGGTGTGATACATATTTGGATGGGTGTGATACAGAGTTCTCTAGATGAGTTGTAGAGTTGCTTGCATATGATGTAGAGTTGCCTAGGTGATGTAATCATGTTTTGGGGATTGATACCTACATGAATGGTATTTGTATATATTCTGAACATTTGTCTTTTGATCTATATAATTCTGTCTATTTTCAGATACAAAACACGACATTGGTAAACAATTCTAGCGTCCCGATTGTGTTCCTGAAGTCTCCTATCTACCTTCCAGCACAAGTGTAACAGAGAACCATTCCATGAAGCTGTCCTCATTGATTCTCCAATAAAACATGAAAAACAACATTTCTATCCACTTTGTGTGACTTCTGTAGCAGACACAGTCAACATGTCAGCTCCTTCGGAGGAATATAACTGGACCACAGTTCTCTCTTTGTGTGATTTTCGTTGCTGTTGTGTAATCTGATAATTGGTCAGTAGTGTTGTAGCCAGCCAGATAACTGAGTCAAGAAGAGACACAAACATGACTGATATTAGCCCGGACTGACAAGTTGATTGTCATCGTAGCACATTTTAATATTGGGGACATACTATTTAACATGTTGGATATTCTGAAATATTTTGTTTTACCATCTTCCTGAGACACTCAATTTTGAAGCATGACTGAAAAAATATTCTCCATCAAACAATCAAATAGTCTGCCCCCAACATAGGCATCATGTAGCACACTCCAAAAGTTTAAGAACGCTCAGTTGTTTCATAATGGTTGTTGTTTTTATGGTAGTTCAGCCGAGAGCATATTCTCCATCATAACAAAAGTCAAATATGGTACTTGTTGGTCCCTGCATGGCGCTTGGCATCATGGGTATAACAAGGACTGGTCGGCTCCGAGTCAGCTGTTTATTAATGGTTGGTATGTGGGCTAGCACTATAAAACCAGCTTAAGTCTGGGCTAGTACAAGCAGCCGCACATACACACACGCATGCCCGTCGTCATATGAGCGAAATATTCTCCAGCACAACGTTAAACCCAATTTCACCTCACCTCACCTTTTATGGTAGTAGTCCAAGTATACTACGACAGCCTGTAAATAATGCAGTCTTGATCGGACAGTCGAGTGATTAACATCATGAGTATTCGGATACGCTAACAAAACATGCATCAACCAAGCCAGAGAGCCTGACCGCCCATTCCTTTTGTTGCCTCCAATGAGATGTCAGTTACATGCAGACCCGACCCATGAAGATTCTGGTTAGAATTGGTCCTCTGTAACCCATGCTTGTCATTTGAGGACTGACGGATCGGGATCGGATGGTCAGGCTTGCCGACTTGGTTGACATATGTCATCTTATCCCAACTATGTAGATCGATGCTCATGATGTCAATCACTGGATTGTCTGGTCCAGACTCGATTATTTACAGACCGCTGCCATATAGCTGGAATATTGCTGAGTGTGCAGCATTAAACAACAACAACAACAACAACCAGTCACTCTCGGTCTCTTGTCAGGCTTGGAGTTAGACAAGAAATAGTGGCTTTATTTGTGTGGCAGTAGATTCTGGTCCTGATGAGTCGATTCTGGCCCAGAATTCTAAAGGCGATTAGATTAAACAAGAGTATGCTTCTTTGTGGTTTTATCATTAAATGTAAAATTTGAAACTTCATACTACATTGTACAACATTGTTCACGAATGAAATCATATATAATCTCACAGCTTCTAACCAAACCTTTGCTTAAATTATTTGGATGAGAAATATGCATTCTCTGCAATTTTATATATATTTTTCAATGTGGTCTTAAGTCATTTTCGTATTCTCCACCCCGATCTCTTCCCCTTTTCCTCCCTCCCCTTCTTGATCCGCCACTGTATATAATGCCTGACAGGTTAAATGTTTTAAAAGTTTTCATTCCCAAGTTGAAGCTATAAAGTTAACCGGGAATCAGTCCCTAAAAGAACTTGGTATGAAACTAACAAACAACAAATAAAAGTGATGTAATTGACAATTGTATTCTATATCACTACAAATCATTACAAAAGGTATGAGTATGGCAGTGCAAATTCAAAGGTAACATTATCTATAATACAAGAGCAGTAATTACAGCATTAAAGACAGTGATGGAAATATTCATCTCTCGGCAACAGTAATCAAACTTGCAACTTGGCAGAGTATCCATGGTGTAATTATCATCACACACATTACTGGTCTTCTTGTAACTTTAGATGTAATGTGATATGAGAGGCAAGAGTTAACTTCCCTTGTATACCCGGGAAAAAGAACCCAGAAGATTCTCCAAATCCTGTGCCAGAATAGCACATATGTTGGCAGGGCTCCGTAGTAATCAAACTTGATCATCAGTATATCCTCCCTCTTGGGGAATTTGGGTTAGTATTCGACCCAAGCAAACTCTAGTCGTAAGCGGGGATTGAATGGATCGAATGGTCAAGCTCGATGACTTGAGTGAGTTTAGTTTTACGCCGCCTTTAGCAATGTTCCAGCAATACCACGGCGGGGACACCAGAAATGGGCTTCACACATTGTACCCCTGTGAGGAATCGAACACGGGTCTTCGGCGTGACGAGCGAATGCTTTAATCACGAGGCTACCCCACCGCCCTAATACACATGGAACATCGTTACACAATAAATCATTGCCACATAACAATGTCAACAAAATATTTGATTGAAAGATTAGATGTATTACTAGTAATGTACATACAGTTACTAAACGGTTCATAGTGGAGTTAACGTTTTCTGTCCCAATAATATAACAGACATCCTTAAACAGGATTGCTCACTCTTCGAGGATCAGCGAGTTTTATGGGAACTGTATTTCCTCTTGAGTTGTGTATGATCAAATATGTATTACTTGTCTGGGCCCAAAATAACAACAGGGAGAAACGTGCGTGCGCACGCACGCACGCTCACGCACGTTTCTCCCTGTTATTTTTTATGCGTGCGTGCGTGCGTCTATCCGCGCGCCAAGGAGGAATATTTACAATAATACTATTTTTAAGTGATTGTGAGAATGAATTGGACTTTGCCCAGTTTTCAGCAACATTTCACTGGTTTGAAACCAAACAAGCCATATATACCGATATGGACCAAACATTTTTGTCAGAATTGTGACGCTCTTCGAAATTATTTGCAGAAAGAACATGCTCTCGAAATGTAGACATCAAAGGTTGGAGCTGCTGGAATATTGTTCCACTTAAAGTGGATACTGATTATTTGTTTGGAAAGTTGACGTCATTATTTTTGTCACACATTTTGTGGAAAATATTTTCTCTCTGAATCTTTAGGCATAAACTAAATAATGAACACTGGTTTGGTCTCATTTATATCTGGTTCAGGAGGCTTAATCAGTGGCTCTGTTACCATTATTGAACGATATCATTTCGTCGATATAGTTAAAGATTATGTTGAACTTCTTGGCCGAATTACCTTGATTTCGTCAATCCCAGTAGATAAATCTTAACATTTAACAATCGCTAACATTTTTAGCGACAAAATCTCCACAAATCCAGTAAGCCAACATCTACGAGTAATTGTAGGGTCTTTTGTCCCCATGCCGAGCTCCTGGAGACAGCAATGTATTCACCATGTTACATGAAACACGAATATGCTCCCCTCATACTACAGTTTGACTGGCGTGTTCACACAGTAGGAGGCGATGGCAGATAAGTGTTATCCATTCTGAAAAAAATGATAAATATAATTGTCATAATAATGATGATAAATGATGAATACACCGTATGAACAAGAAATGATTCTGAATACCATACAGTAATGTGTTTGTTGTTCAGCGCCGACCTCAGCTATATACCAGTTCACTTCTTACCCGGATCTTCTCGGGTTACCATACAATAAGGTGAGGTGAGGTGAGGTGAGGTGAGGTGAGGTGAGGTGAAATTGGGTTTAACGTCGTGCTTGTGAATATTTCTCTCATATGACGACGTGCATGCGTGTGTATGTGTATGTGCGGCTGCTTGTACTAGCCAAAGACGTAAGCTGGTTTTATAGTGCTAGCTCACAGAAATACCATGCCACAGTGAAGCATGGATACCCCACTCAGACACATTATACTGACTCCGAGCCGACCAGTCCTTGTTGTACCCATTAATGCCGAGCGCCAGGCAGAGACCAACAAGTACCATATTTTAACGTCTTTTGGTATGACGCGGTCGGGGATCGAACCGGCGACCTTCCGCTCTCCGGGCGGACGCTCTAACCACTACACCACAGAGGCGGTCACCATACAATAAGCTCGGATGGGCCCACTTATATATTATTACAAGAATGTCGTCTATCACAGTGACTGAGCGTGGTTTTACGCCGCTTTTAGCGAAATTCCAGCAACATTACTGTAAGGGACACCAGTAAGTTCTTCCCCACATTGTTCTTATTTGGGGAATCGAGCCTTTAACCACTAGGCTACCCTACCGCCCCTCGTTTAACAGATACACAGCAAGAACATGGCAAGGACAGGGACACACCTCACAAGAACAGTAGATTACGTAGATTCCTGAAACATGTCGATATGTTTTCTTTGAAGGATTGTTACACTGCTTGAAGGACACTGATGTAATTTATCAGAGGGAATTTACACCTAACCTTTGCTTCTCTTTAGTATTTCGCAGCTTTGTTTGGGGCAAGGCATGCTGTTCTCGCTGAAGTTCTTTGAGGGTGACGGTATATTTACCGTGACTGGGTGAATTTGTTTTGATGCCGTATTGATTTTTCAGCTATATCACGTCAGGTTGATGGAAGAATACATGGTATGATCACTTTTTCAGAGTAAACCATAATCAAGCCCTTTAAACACGATATCCTACAATGACCCCTGCTTTATACATATTTCTACTTGAAAGGATTTAATCGCGTTCTACTGAATGTAAAACAACAGACGTTGACTGTTGACAAAAAATGGAAGTGTAACTTAACTGAGTGTCATCTTTGCATTGAATGCCGTGCTGACGCGTATAAAATATAAACAACAAAAACAGATGCCTAAACAGAGTCCATTAGAGGAAAAGGAAACGGAAAGGGAAGAACATGATGAAATGACAAGGAAGGGGAACAGGGAGACTTACCATTGACCCTGGCCAGATACCCCATCTGCCACCAGCGACTCCTGGACAGGAAGTAGAGAGGGACACCCAGCAGAGTGATACAGAAGATGGGCAAGTACAGGCGTGGGTCGAAGGTGATGGCTGTGACAGATAGCACCAGGAAGAAGACAACGTAGATGACGGGGAACAGCCAGTGGACCTTAGGGAGGTAAAAGAAGAACTGGCCATTTTATTTTCGAAGCAACAGTTAACATCCTTTTAACCCAAGATAGCCCTCCCTCGCAGTGTTTAACCACATCTATATTTTAGCAAAAGCTTTGTTTGTTTAACGCCGCACTCACCAATATTCCAGTCTGTAAATAATCTATGCGAATCACTTTGCACATGAAAAAATGCTTCCTTACAAAATTTGTAATATATATCCTTTCTGATTATGAAATACCCGTTATGAGGAGAAACAGATTGAGTTAGCATGGTATTAAGTAAACAGATCAGTACGGAAAATGAAGGCACATTGTAGCTTATGTTTACTGGTCAGCTGAGCTTTGGTCATTGAAGAAAGATGGAAGTATAATTCATAAATACTTAACACATTTACTTCTTGACCTTTTACGAATAAGAAGCAAGACACCTCTTCCACAATCATATGAAATGTGTGCTGAAGCCGAGGCCAGTGGACGGTTTCGACTATTTCATGAACGTTTTTGTAAGAATTACAATAAAAAGGGAGTGATGTGCCTCACCAGTGTCACAGTGAAAGGGAAACGTTCACCTGAGCAAACCCTGAACATTTGACACTCACATGGAACTGCACTATTTACATTTAGTTTGGAAATTTGGTAAAACGACAATCTTTCATAATACCTCATCTATATATTACACCACTCGTTGCCATGACAAATAATGTGTTTGTGTGTATAACAGATAAGCTGAATAAGGAATACACTGAACCCATGACGTTTGTTGCCTTCTTGGCCGCTTTAAGTAAGTTATGGCTTTTATTATTGGGACACTATAATTTCCACACTTCATGACTCATGTGTTAAGTAACCGGATATGAAAGGTTCCATTGCATATCCTAATGTGTAATCATTCTGGTGATACCTTGTAAGTATTAACTGTTGCTGGATGTCTCCGTCGTATGATGAATATTCCTGCAATTGCTACGCACTCCCCTCCAGCCTTGAAGAACGAATAAGCTCCCAGTACAGACTTGACATCTCCGAGGCACAGGTAGATCGCCGTCAGTATGAACTGAAATGGAAGTAATTCAGCCAGATGGGTATGATAGTGAAGGTGGTCATATTTGATAGACAACATTACGACACATTGTCCAGCTCACCAGCACAATGATCGCAGGTTGTGGAGTTTTTCTGTGTATGTTGATCATGCTGAGGAAGCGAGGAAAGAGTCCATCACGACCCCCCACAAAGTACGTTCTGAAACATTTACAAGGAAAAAATAATAATTAGAATCATGAATATCTAATGTGGTCATTTTAGTGTCAGCACTTCATGTGTCTTATTGCTGGTCAGAAGGGCCATGTATCGAAACTTTATTAATGAAAAAACATGATTTAATCACTTATTGGGTATGTATGCATTGGTATGAATGTGTGAAAGAATGAAATATCCTTTCTTTATATTCAAGTTATTTTTTTATTATTATGTTTCACAGATTAAGATGAAAAATGCAGCAGGGAGGGTTCGGGTGATCCTGGCACAGTCAGGATGGTAAGGCTCATCATCTCAGGGCCCTTACCCCCACTACACGCAGCCCAGACAGCGAATGGGACTTCTCCCAGGAAACGCTGCCTAGTCGAACCCACCAAGAACTTTCAGGAGAATATGTAGACTCCCCAACACTTCAGCCTTCTGCATTACCCAGAGTGTCAGAAGGGCTGTGCTCCCGGTGGAGAACCCGGTTTTTTATATTATTATTATTTTATTATTTATTAAAATCAATTGTCCTGTTTTTCAGTATTTTTTATTTTTATTCATTTATCATAATTTATTTATTTTAATGTTTTTTATTTATCATGTCCTGTACAACGCATATATATCATTACATCATGCATATCTCATGTAATATCTCTACATGAATAAAAATATCGAAGTAAAAAAAGATAGTCAAACTTGGTTTTCTTACAATTCATTCATAAAATAATACTTAAATAGTTACTTTTATGAACTATGCAACTTCATAATTCATGTTCTATCAAATAAAACCGTATGAAGGCTTCATGCTGCAATAAATGTTTAGACCTTCACATGCTAGGTTGTATGAGAAACACGATTTCATGCTTAAATATATTACCTACATTCCCTGATATAGCGGGGCATTTATTTATCAAAAGCCACCTCAATAGGAGTTGGTCAAAAGATTTAGCAACATGCTTATAAACACGTAAAACATTTTGTGTATCAGCTGTCGTGGTCATTTGTTCTGGTCAAATTGCCGGATGATGTAACCTAAAATAACAATAATCATCATCTAAATATTGATAATGCGTTTAAAATACCATATTCCGATGCCATTTCGATATTTTAGATAAATACTTCTATGGTTCTGCTCAACTGAAATGAATCAATAAATAGTACGTGGAGGACACTATGATAATTAGTATATAACTAGTCGATACTGCAATGTTGTTTCTGGTGCTTTGTCTGTTACTGGACCCGTGAAGATCCGGGTTAGAATTGATCTTCAGTAACCCATGCTTGTCGTTCGAGGCGACTAACAGGATCGGGTGGTCAGGCTCGCTGACTTGGTTGATACATGTTATCGTATCCCAATTGCGTAGATCGATGCTCATGCTGTTGATCACTGGATTGTCTTGTCAAGACTGGATTAATTACAGACCGCCGCCATAAAGCCGTAATTCTAATGAGTACGGCGAAAAACTAAACTCGCTCACTCACTCACTATCTGTTACTGCCTTAATTCAAAGCAATAATAGCTGTCGCGTTTCTCACAGTTTCTGTCCGAATAGAACTGTTAATAAGACGTTTAAAGGTATGGGACCTTGACATAACACATAACTTGTTAATTTTCATTTCAGTGTGAGCATACATAATGGATGGACTTGTCGAAACAAAATACACCATTGACCTTGAATACATGTTTCAGAAAAACCAATGTTGAAGTTAACTTCTTTGAGAGGCATTTACAAATTGGAACAGTAGGGAAGGATACCAATATATGCCACGTTTTGGTTTAGGTTCTAACATCACTTGCTTGATAACGGTGTTAGAACCAACACCGAAACGTCGCTCTCACTATGATAAAGAAGAGGATCATCCATATATTGTTATCCTTCCTCAATGTTGAAGTTGTTCATTGAAGCTAGGCGTGGAACGATCTATGTTACAAGAATGAGGTGTTTGTATGAACCGCCATAAGCCATCCTTACTGCTCAAAATTATTATTAACTTTCGAAAAGCGTAGAACCCCGTAAGCCCAACGTTACACTGGTGATTTTGTGTACCCAATGATACAGAAAACCACGTGGATTTGACGCTTAATTTACGCAACACCTAATGTCATCATCAGTGCATGTTTCTCTGCACTTCTGCACATAAAATACCCATCCATCCACATGTACGCAGGCACACACGCACACACGCACGCACGTTTTACCTGCTGAAAATGAAGACGTTAATGTTCGCAATCCCTCCAGCTGATGCTGCCACACACGCAAGGATAACCCACTTGAAGAATCCCAGCTTCCTTTCTCCAAATACCTTGAAGAAAATGAAGTATATTTTTCATCTCCATCAGATCTCCGTCCATGTAGTTGGCACATAACTTTTATGTGGACTCCATAGTAAATTTGTCATTAGCACTTGTACCTACTCCATGATATTTCTATATGTCCAAAGTAAAGTACAATTTGTATTATTCACTATGCACACTCACGACAGGACACACATCAAAATGCAAAAACAAACAAAAACAAATTGTTACAAAGGAAAACCATCACACTGTTGGTTGGAAAGAGTTGTCACATGCATGCAGATGTTTGAGGATGTAAACAAGAAAATAATAAAACCGGAGGCTTAATCATTTTTCGAGAAACAAAAAGGGTGTTCTCTGGACATGAGACAAAACTTAAGGTCTTTTCAATCTCATCAGATGAAATGCTGACATAACTCCCCTATCGCCATATGAACATATGAAAAGTCCTTCACAATACAGTGGGTATGGTGGAATACCAAAGGTTTGTCTCTGCATCCCGGCCACTCGTGAGAATAGGGTGCCTGGGAGCAGATAGGCCACGACCCGATACATATCTCGAATGTTGGACAGGGCATCAGTAGTCACGGTGTAATGGGACAATTCGTGTTATCAGACCCTCATGACGTGAATTGAATAGCGTTGACGGCTGCGTTAAAACTTCCACCATGGACAACTATTCTTTTGTCTGGTATATATTCAATTAATTCAATCTGACATTAACAATGACGTATTGCTGATTGCGTTGTTTTAGTAAACTCAGACAGAGTTCAAATATTGCAGTCATAATTCATTTACAAACTTACATAGGCTACAGCAATTCCAGATAGAATCTCGTCATTAGTGAGAACAGCATGGTAAGCAACATTTGCCAAAAGATATCCTAAAGTCGGAACTGCGAGTCCTCCAAAGATGGCTAGCGGGATGTTTCTAGAACAAAGAAAGACATATGAATGATCCTTTGTATATATTGGTGTTTTTATTTATAGGGAGTATATTTAAATACCGTTTAAATACCTTGTCATCGTGTTTTCTGTCTTAAGCATTATTTCGACAAGTTACATCATGAGCTGTCTGTAATGTTTGTCTGTCTGTATGGAATTAATCCAAGGCTAAGACATACCAGCGAGAATGATCTACATTGTACCTGTGTGGGTTGCAAACTTCCTCTACGCCAGTGTTGACACATGACCTGTAAGACAACATACATCGAATAAAATCGCCATGTGAAATGAAATAATGAATAACCTGACTGATAAGTCCGACGCTTTTGCAGCTGTGGCATGACCATAGATAACCTGAAGCTTACTCTTGTTATTATATATTGTTTTCTTATAGACAGCAATTATACTCTGCAGAAAAATCCCCCAAACCGCGAAAGTGTTTTTTAGATTTATACTGTCATTGTCATATAAATACTAGTAATCAACAGTTCATATTTTTTTTCTTCAAATTTGGCACTATTTTTTTTCACTGACCGAGGTTCATCATAGTGCAATAAGATAATCGAGTATCGAAGGTCATCAATATCAATACTCAATATCTTCTACGGACCCCATGGTGCCAATCAGATGACGAATTGTGTCCAGGGGACTGTTCAAACACCTTTCTTGCAGTGCTCATGCCAATTGTTGAGGTTCTGTGGCTGTTGCTGACGTGATCGCAGACGTTGATCAAAGGCATCCCACAAATGGGTTTAGATATGGAGACCCTGAGCGCCATGGCAGTACTTGGATGCTGTAGTACCATAAAAAGGTCGTTGTCAGTCAAGCCAAGAGTTCTGGCGTTGACGTGTTGCTTGTCGTTTGCTTGTTGCATACTGGGAAGGGCATCTGTGTAACGTTGCGCCGTTAAACTGCCCTGCATGTGAGCCAAGTCTGTCTTTCCGGTATGGGAGATGGCGGTCCACATCATTACGTTCTCACCACCAAACCAGTTCACTTCCTGCATGCACTTTCGAGTACTTATGTTCCCCACGACTTTTGTAAACACAACGTCCTCCGTCTATACGTAGAAGCACAAAATGTGACTCGTCATTAAAACAAACACGTCTCCATCGCTGTTGTGGATCTGTCAGAAAGACAGGTCTCGCGCGAATACCTGCGGTTCCTCGTTGTCTGGGCTGAAATCCTACGCAATCCTACGCTTTTGGTGTAGCTGTTGAGGCGGTCGTGGTGAGTCTATGACGAGTCAATCGGAGTTGGGTAGGTTACATTTTGACCCCATCGTTGTCATAATCTTTCGACAACTTAGCCAATGTTGCAAGTTCATTCCATGTTGGTGTGTTTGCTCTCCGCGCTCCCACGTAATTGCGTTTTTGCGTTTCACCCACTTTTTGGTCGTTTGGGGTCAAACTTTATTCTACCCGAACAGATCATTCCCGATGCACGCAGACACGAGAAATTTATATTTGGTATTCCTTTTGCATGAATATCAGCAAATTTTCGTCAGATATTTCCATTTTTTTATTTTTACGTTTCTTTTTTATGCAGAGTATACGTTAAGCTTCTTTGAGAGGCATTTTTGAAGTTGTATGAGTAGCCAACGCTTTAACCAAGTTCCGCCTATGGATAGTCAACTTCTTCATTGCAATTCTATGGATAGTGCGACGTTTCGGTGTAGGTACTAACACCGTTATCAAGTTAGTACCTAACAGCTACAACGAAACGTCGCACTCATTGCAATAAAGAAGTTGACTATCCATAGAACTTGACTATCCATAGAACTGTCTTTACTTCGATTTCGATGTTTAGTCTCCGGTAAGCTCATCTGTATGGACAAACCGTCTTTACAATCGGTAATTTCGAATGTTTAGTCTCCGGTATTGGCTTATCTTGTAGTTGTTTCCTCGCATTCATCAACAGACAAACAGTCTGAGTTCAGGCTAGTCAAACAAGAGGTTAATATCATGAACGTCAATCGTCATCCAATATCACATAATCATCAATATGTACATTTTGTGCGTTAGGTTGTGTAGAAGATGAATATCACTTCCTTCTAAAATGTCCATTGTATGACTATCTCAGATCAAAATATATACCAAGATATTATTATAATTCACCAACGATGTTTAAGTTTAAAATTCTTTTAACATGTAATAAGCTAAATATTTTGTTAAATGTTGCAAAGTTTATTAAGGAAGCTCTATTTCTCAGAAATTCCCATCTGTCATTTTAATGATTATTTTGTATTATAGTGTACATGGGCCGTTGGCCTTGATACCGAATAAAAGAATTGAATCTAATCATCAAGACCCGAAAACTGACCATTATATTGGCAACCAACCACAGCAATGCCATGCGACGGTGGCTTGTAAACAAACCAGACAATCAAGTGATTGATAGACCAGAAAATACAATTTGATAATTTTGAAATGCAGTGTAAAAGTACTGACAGTCCGATGTTTATAAGAAACGCCTTGCAATATATTATTTATGGTTGACAATTTCCTCTTCCAAAAAATCTTAAGGGTAATAATTCTGATATCATTTTCGGGGCGGTGGGGTAGCCTGGTGGTTAAAGCGTTCGCTCGTCGCGCCGAAGACCCGGGTACCACATGGGTACAATGTGTGAAGCCCATTTCTGGTGTCCCCCGCCGTGATGTTGCTGGAATGTTGCTAAAAGCGGCGTAAAACTAAACTCACTCACTGATATTATTTTCAAGGACAGCTGTTTTATTCGGTCATTAAGCGACTCCCCATCCCAGCATCCGCTCATCCAATGGTCAGTCCCTAAACATCATGAAAGAATAATTATCAGGAAAGGTATTCCCACCATGAAACATGTAAAAATAATCCAAACATTTTCAAACATTCATATTTCCGAAAACAGTATCATTTGTGTTTAAAACACAGCTCACCAGCCACTAAATGCAAACAGCCCTGCGTAGAAAGCCAGGGCTACACCGGACGGCTTAAAGTTGGTGGACTTGAATGGTTCACTGAAGTTTTCTGTGTGCCCTGAAATATGATCAAAAGAAAATTTGCATCGCATATAACGATAGATTTCGAGAAAAGTGACACGTCTAATGCGACTTTACTTAAAATGTTAGTGACATGTATAAGCTAAATGTGTGAAGATAACCTAAAAGGAACAAAATCGTTGACTTCTGCCATTTTGCTGACTATTGTTTTAAGCCAAAGTTCAGCTTTTACCATTTTGCTGACAATTGTTTTAAGCCAAAGTTCAGACTTTTACCATTCTGTTGAATATTGTATTAAACCAAAGTTCAGACTTTTACCATTCTGTTGAATATTGCTTTAAGCCAAAGTTCAGACTTGTACCATTTTGCTGACTATTGTTTTAAGCCAAAGTTCAGACTTTTACCATTTTGCTGACAATTGTTTTAAGCCAAAGTTCAGACTTTTACCATTCTGTTGAATATTGTATTAAGCCAAAGTTCAGACTTGTACCATTTTGATGAATATTGTTTTAAGCCAAAGGTCAGCAGTTTTCCAGCTATACCATAACAAAGAAAACTATTAGTCTGGACACATCTTGTAACCATCATTTAATGACCAGCATTGTGCACTGGCAACATATTCACCCCCTTCATTCCCATGCGCCTTTGACACACCTATGTTAAAACTGAGATGCAATGGCAACTTTGGAGATTTTGGAACCGTATGGACGGTGTACATGCACGCGTTTTATCTACTGTATTACCCAAAGCTGAAATCCATGTCAACATTAATACTCATTTCAGGTGGCAGGACCAACTCTCTGGAATCCACTTCCACTGGAGTCAGGGACAACTTTCAAATCTAAACTGAAGACATACCTTTTTTAAGAAAACATACAGTGTCTAACTTTTCTTTTTTGAGTTGTTCGGAGAGCGCTTCTGAGCAGTACGTTTGGACTGAAATTGACGAAATATAAATGTTTCTATGATGTGCCACTGAAATATATCTAAAATTTCCTGTCACAGAGTTCGTTTCTGCCAGATATAGATAACATACCTTGGCCAATATGGAACATGCCAGCAACTATGATGGTCAGTAATGCCGTGACTTTGCACACAGTGGTCAAAGTCTGTAGCCGGGCTCCCATTTTGACACTGTACATATTGGCCGTCACCACAAAGCCTGAAAATGAATATAGCTCCATTAGCTCATGTCATATTACCCTAATTCTGTAGGTCGATGCTCATGATATCAATCACTGGATTATCCGGTCTAAAATTCATATTTTAAAGGAATATTGGTGAGTGTGGCGATAAACAACCACATACTTTATTTCTTTATTCGTCACGCCAAAGACCCGGGTTCGAATCCCCACATGGGTACATTGTGTGAAGCCCATTTCTGGTGTCCCCCCGCCGTGATGTTGCTGGAATATTGCTAAAAGCGGCGTAAAACCAAACTCAGTCAGTCAGTATTTCTTTATTCAATATTACTTTCAAGGAGATGATTCTGTACATTGAAGGCATGTATTACCACAGATGACAAATCCTAGCATGACTTTGGACGGTGTTGGTGCCATGTCTGGACAGGTCAAGAAGAAAGGTCTCAAGATGTACTGTGCGGCCGCCAAGGATGCGAGGGTCGTAGACAGAGGACGGCCAATGAGAAATTCACTCCACAGAAACAAAATTCCCCCCAAGTCTCCGAAAGCTTCTCGGATGTAGGTATAAGTACCACCTGATTTCTTCAGCCGGGTGCCTTGAATAGACCACATCTTATTGTTACTTTTTTATCACTCTCACGAACTGGCGGACCAAAACTGTTAACAAATCTGAGTTTTCAAGGTAATTATCCGAGATGTTAAAGACTTGCGGTTATGTTTTTATCTGTACTTGACGTTTCACGGGCCTTAGAATTTTCAATGGCGACAGTAACATTTGTAATTGCGATAACTGATATCACTACCATACCACAAGAATGTAGAAAAATAACGTTTTAGACATTTGG